CAGGAATGAGTTAGCACCATCAAGGTAGATGGAAGGACAGAATGACCTGCTGAGGCATGTCCTCCACACGCTCCCAACGGGCAGACAGGAAATTGCTGGCCTGAAATGATAAGGGTCAAGCTGCTTCAATTAACGAAAATGGAAATGGCAACCCGACTTGGCACAGGCGATACCGTGCAGGACTGTTCTGGGCTCTCAGCCACCCCCTCCGCAAGCTGGGCTTAGAGGCTGACATCAGGCGGAGCCGTGAGCGGATGCAGGGGCAGAAGAATGGGTAAAAAGATATGCAGGAGAATTGTCTTGCAGTTGTTTTGTTTGTTTTTTGTTGTTGTTGACAGAATGTGGGTCAAAACAGGGAGGGAGAGGAGGTTTCCCCAAATACATTATAATTCAACCTTGACTGGTAAGCTTAGGCTGGGGCCAGGCTGGTGGTAAGGCTTCTGTAGAAGAAAGCAATTCGGCTTCTCCCAAAGCAGCTTACTTCTGCATCACCTGATGGTCATAGCTGGGAAGTTTATCCATGTGTCTAACCTCAATGCCTCATGCGCCAATTGAAATTATTTCCTTTTGGGGGCATTAGGAAAAAATAGAAAAAAACTGGCCTACATCCTCCTAACCAGGAATATTTGAAGAGTGGAGATTTAGTCTGTGCTGGGCCACAATCTCTAGTCCCTCCCTCCATTCCATTTATTTTCTCTACCCAGCTATGGCCAGGCTGAGTTTCTGGTCTTTTTTGGCTCCAACAATTGGACACCCCCTGACAGAACCTGCTGCAGTTTTCCATCACAGAGGTTCACAGAACAAGAGATCAAAGAGAGAGCCCCACTTCCTGTCTCCCAGAGAGCCATGCCCAACCCTTAGTTCCTGCCATTTCCTGGCTCTGGAGCTCCTCCCCTCATCCTGTTTTCTATCTCCTTGCAGTCAGGGCTGAGAAATTCTTGGAGAGAGATGACACAGTGGCCCCCTTTTTGAAGAGCCACTCCATGAAAGTAGCAAGATTCAGCAAGTGCTGAGAGAAGAACTCTCCAATCACCGCCCTGGCTCACAGGCACACATACCTCCCACCCACATTCTGAGGACTAATCACTTCCTCAGTCAGTGTGCCCAGAGCACTGTTTAAAACTTGTTCACAACACGTTTTCCACTTGATTTATACTATAATTATATGCCTGTATCTCCCAACACCAGACAGTGAGCAAAGTAAGGGCAAAGAACCACCTAATTCACCTCTGTCACTATCTACAGAGCCTAGTGTGGGGGACGACACAGAGCGGACATCAGTAAGTGTTTTTGAATTGAGAAAGGAAAATGAAGGGCCACACAGTAGTCAAACTCAAGACTCAATCTTTCTTTAAGCCATCCTGTTTCAGTCAGGGGAACAACAGGAGAAAGTGTCTTTCTTCCCAAACATACTCCATCCTTCAGAGTCTCAGTGCCACTCCTGCCCACGCACAGTGTGGCCTCTAACACGGTGTGTGTGTGTGTGTGTGTGTGTGTGTGTGTGTGTGTGTTGGGGTAAGACTTTTTAAGCCTCTATCGCTCCTTTGAACCAGAATTTGAATTGTCATCACTGGAAAAAGCACCAACCCTGGGGACCCGCATGTTATCGCCTGGGCACCTGGGGGAGGTCTCCAAAACAAGATTCTTGCATTATTTGCAAATGTGTCCTGAACACCTACTTTGTGCCAGGTGTGGGGTTGCATACTGGCAAAAGGAAGGTAAGACACTCACTTCTTGCCTTCAAGGCACTAGTGCCTTCCCGCCTTAATCTTGGCTGCCTATGCAGAGTACAAAGGGAAGAGATACCAGGTTGCACTTCAGACCTCCCAAATCAAAATCTCTTAAATGGAGCTGAGACGCTTTTTTCTAAAACCTCCACAGGTGAATTGATCCACGGGCAGGGTTGTAAGCCACTGATCTCTAGATCAGTGCTGTCCAATAGAACTTTCTGCAACGATGGACTGTTCCCTATCTGTGCCGTCCAATCAGTAGCCACTGGCCACGTGTGGCTATTGAGTACTTGAAACTAGTGACTAAGGAATTGAACTTTTTATTTTACTTATTTTAATTAATTTAAATTTAAACAGCCACCCGTGGCTAGTGCCTATTATATAGGACTGTAAAAGGCTACATCAGTGTTCCCCACCTTGGCTGCACATTAGAATCACCTGGGAATCTTTTTAAAATCCTGATTTCTGGGCCTCATCCTCTGGGAATTCTGTTTGTTTCTAATGTTGTGGCCTCACCCCATAACAAAGAAACAGAATTTCCGGAGGATGAGGCCCAGAAATCAGGATTTTAAAAAGATTCCCAGGTGATTCTAATGTGCAGCCAAGGTTGAGAACCACTGCTCTAGGTGATCCAAAATCATGTCAATTTGGTTGGAAGATACCTTTTGTAGCAGGTGAAGTGTCCATTCCCTTTGGCTCGGGAGAAGACAATGAGCTTCCCTTCCCTAGGGACACTTATTTATACTGAAACACTGCTCTAGATGAATTGGGGGGAGGGGCCAGTCTGGTGGGTTAAGTCCTATCAGCTAGCTAAGCTACCTCACCAGCCTCAGCATCACCACCTCTCCCCGACCCCCACCTCTGGCCTGGAGAAAAGCACGCCTGAGCACCCTCTTTTGTTAGAGGTTGATATTGGTGGGGGACATAAAAAGCAGTGACCTGACTTTAGGTACCTATTATGGACTGAATTGTGTTCCCCAAGTCATATGTTGAAGCCCTAACCCCCAATGAGACTATATTTGGAGGTAGGGCCTTTAAAAAGGTTATTAAGGTTAAATGAGGTCAGAAGGTGGGATGAATAGGACAGGTGTCCCTATGAGAAGAGAGTTACCAGGGAGGTGCACACACAGAGAACAGCCATGGGAGGACACAGGGAGAAGATGGCCGTCCGCAAGCCCAGGAGAGGGGCTGCAGAAGCCAAACCTGCAGGCATCTGCATTTTGGACTTTCCGGCCTCCAGAACTATGAGCAAATACGTTTCTGTTGCTGAAGCCACCCAGCCGGTGGTGTTTCGTTATGGCGGCAGACTAACACAGTGCGCTTGGGAAAGGGCAGTGCCAGGATCCTAACTAACCTTTCCCTGATGAGATGCACCCCAAGAATAGTGACTCTACCATCTGTCGGTGTTTTCTTGTGCATCCTACTCCCCCAACTGTACTTTAAAGTCTCTAAAATTAGTCTAGGATTCAAAACCCTTCATACCAGGTAAACTGTCCCCAACTTCCGTCTCGTTTTTCCTCCCAACTGGGTCAAGTCAATGCTAATCTATTTGCCACCCCTTGAACATAACAACACTCTTCTCTAAGCTCTACAAAACGTTCCCATTCTCTAAGGCCCCCGGAAATGCCACCTCTTTCAGAAAGCTTTCCCTGACTGCCTCAGCTAAATGCCTAAGGGAACAACGGCTTCCATCCCGGGAAGTTATCCACAGTGCCTACGCCAGTGCTCTGCAACATGGGCCAATGACTACTTACACTATAGCATAAGAGCAGAGAGAGGAAAAGACGGCTAAGGCATGTGGGGCTGCAAAACTGAACACAATTCTGATGCTAACTACCCAGAGTTAGCCCACTACCCAGAGTTAGCCCACGTCCGACAGGCTTAAGGGCAAAGTCCCAAATAAGACTCCCCTCATTTCAGATGCCAGCTTCAAGTTCGAGGGTCCCCAGGCCACCTATACTTCTGCCTATAAATTCAGGGGTTCCCATGACACCCTAAGGTTTAATAATTTGCTAGAATAACTCACAGAACTCAGTAAAGCACTTTACCTACAATTAGTTTATTATAAAGGATACCAATTACGACCAGCCAAATGAACAAACATATAAGACAAGATCTGGGATGATCCAAAAAACAGCTTCCGTGCCCTCCCCCCACAGAATCATGACACATCACCTTCCCAACATATCCATGTGCCCACCAGCCAGGAAGCTCACCAAAGCCTTGTGTCCAGAGTTTTTATTAGGGTTTCACTATGTAGCCATAACTTATTGAAATCATTGCCCTGGCCAGTTTTGCTCAGTGGATAGAGCCTCAGCCTGTGGACTGAAGGGTGCCAGGTTCAATTCCGGTCAAGGGTACATGCCGGGGTTGTGAACTCCATCCCCAGTGGGGGGGAAGAGGGGGCGTGCAGGAGGCAGCCAATCAATGATTCTCTCTCATCATTGATGTTTCTATCTCTCTCCCTCTCCCTTCCTCTCTGAAATCAATAAAAATATTTTAAAAATCATTTTGTGTTTATATTCTTTTATAAAAGCATTTTGGATACAGAAAAAAAAATCATTGGCCACATGGTTGAACTCAATCTCTAGCCCCCTCTCCTCCATGGAGGCTGATATCACCTGACTCAAAGCCCCAACCCGCTAATCACATGGTCGGTCTTTCTGGCATGGTCACCCTCATCCTGAGTCAAACTTCATCATAAACTCAGGTGTGGTCTGAGGGATCCACCATGAATAACAGAAGTTCCTATCACTTGGGAAAGTCCAAGGATTTAGAGGCTCCCTCTAAAGAACCAAGGACAAAGACCAGTAAAATTCTTTATTATACAATTGGGTTGTAGAGAACGGGGGAGACTCACTTATACTAAAAGCCTTAATTTTGAAAGCTGGAGGTGACTTGTCCCAGAAGAGCCCATGTGCTCCTCATTAAGGTGGTCTCAGGACCTTCTCTGCTCCCAGCTTGATTCACTTTCCCAACCCTTGCCAAATGGGCACACCAGCCAGCCATGCAACAGCCGTAAGAAATGAGTTAGCTGGAAACACCAGGCTCCCATCCACCCACCACCCGCTCCCCAGAGCGCCCAGAGCAGAAGACAAGCCACTGGACAGGCCCCTAGCAGAGACCTGCTGCTTTGGTAAGGCAACTGGAAATGTTTACATCACCCCCCAGCTGCCCTTTGCCAACAGTGAAGAGGTAGGAGGGAAAATATAAACTACCACTTTCCACCCCTGTCATGTTCCCAGGACAGGGAAAAAGCACCAACACAAAAAGATTTAGGAGCTTTTAATGCTTAGACTGAAAAATCACAGGCTGGGTTTTTCATAAAGTCATTGGTCCATCTCTGGCAGGGCAAGTCTGCCCTCACCCAGGCCACAGGTGGAGGCTGAGACTTCTCCCCACGGCCTTCAAGTGGAGGGGCTTCCCTTGTAGTGCAGTGACTCCCCAAGAAAAAAAAGAGGTGTAATGAGCATCTAGTGCCAGGTACCACACAAGGCACTTTAAGTGTTATCTCAGTCAATCCCCACACCAACCCCATGAGGTAGGGATCCCCACGCTACAGATGAGGACCCCAAGGCTTGAAGAGGTTAATCAACATGCCCAAAGTCAAGTTCACAAGTCTCAACAGGTCTTCGAGCCTTCCCCACGCTGCCACGCTGAATTCTTCCTCTCTCTGGTCCAGCCTCAGTCTTCCGTAAGTTCATTCTTAATACCCATGCCCCATGCTTTGTCCTGGTCCCTGTGAGGAGAGGGGTCAGCTGAAGGACACTCCTCCATGAGAATGGGTGCGCATCCTGGCAGGATCTTTTCTCTGAGATAGCAAATAAGACCTTGGAGGTCACTCAGCTGAACACAGGCTCTCAAAGAAACAGTGAAGTAAGCAGTTGGCAGGTGTTGCCTCTCTGTGGAGTTAGGTTCCAAAAAGGCAGTGCTCAAAGGAAGGGGAAGAAGGCAGGAATCAGGAGAGCCAGCCGGAAGAGTGTCAAAACTGCCGTGGCAGGTCCCAGCAACCAGACGGCCAAGGAGGATCTTCCTGCTCCGGTCCAGGAGGCGTGTAGTCATCTGCTGGCCCAAGAAGGACCTGGGGGCCTTGAATGTTTCCCTCTGCCAGGGGCGCTCATTTTGTTAGCAGCGGTAGTAGCCCCAGCTCATTCAGTCTCTCCTTGGCCAGTGGCTCCCAGCCCTTGTTAGCCTGTGGGCTCCGAGGAGAGGGGTGCAGGAGCCCCTCCACCTGGACCTCGGGCATCAGGCCAGCCAGAGCTCGCCGTGCCCGCTGCTCCGCCAGCCGCCCCACGCCCACTACCAGCCGCACCCCCAGCAGCTGCACCTGCCGGCTGAGGGCCGCGTCACAGAGCCCAAGAAGCTGTTCTCGCTGCTTGGCAGGCAAATCGGCGGGGGTGAGGTTGCGCCCACTGGGAGCCAGGAAGAGCAGAGGACACAGATTGTGGACAAAACAGTGGCGGAAGAAAACCTCGGGCTGTCCACAGAGGTTCCGGAAAAAGCCCCAGAACCGGGCACCACTCACCTCTGACTGTGGGCACTCCAGCCCCAGCACTGGTCGCTTAGGGTGTTCTTGAGGAGGGCTCAACACAGAGCCCCCAATTCCCAACCAGTCCCGGACTACACTCACTTCCCCAAAGGGTACCTGTGGAGGAGAGAGACATGATGGTTCCAACTGGAGTCCTGACACCTGTTCTCTGGACCAACTGACCCCTTTCCACGCTCCATGAGGATCTAGCCTGAACACCTCCACCCACTCACCCGAAGGCCGGAGACTAGGATTCCTGGTCCTATGGTTTGATCTTGTCCCTCTTTCTCAAATTTTTCATTGTGGACTGTGGTCCAGACCTATTTGTTTGCCTCTACCCCCTTGGGACCACGTACAGGGAGTTCACGGGGATACCGGGCCCTTCCTAAGGCCTGATGGGTAGTACTGAGAACAAATGGATGGTCTGAGACAGAAAGGCTGCCAGGGTTAGAGGAGGCACAAGGACAGGGCTGACCACTGCTCTCTGGGTGCCCTCTCAGCCCCAAGCCTCAGGCTGTCATTTCCATCGATCATCATTGACCACCTTTCATCCCCCAGTTGGGGTCAATAAAAGCGATTGAGCCTCCTGCCCTGAAGCCTCTTCCCCTCCCCCACCTGCCAAGCACCCCACCAAGGGTCAGTCACTCATCCCGGGGCCTGAGAGATACGCAGGCAGGCCCTGAAGCCTGCTCTGGTCTGAACCTCTCCTCAGCTAAGAAGCAGAGCCCGGGCTGCCTGAATACGCTGCATCGATTCCATACCGACCCGCCAACCAGTCTCTCCTGAGGGCCCAGTAGTCCTGGTCCCTCTCCTGATCCCAACCACATTCTAGGGAGAAGGGAGATCCGGTAAGCTAAGGATGGGGCTGGCGGAAGGAAGGGCTCTCAGAGGCAATTAGCGGACAGCTCACAGAGGAAACGGAACTACCATTAATGTCCTTGGTTAACGACGGGCAGTGAGGCCAGGAGGATGTCTGAGACCCACAGGAGCCAGTGTGTATTGGGAAGGGATGGGAGCCCCGTACATCCACACGGCCACAGCCGCACACATACTCCTCCTCCACAGCACATGCAGCCAAGCATCACCCTGGAGCTTCCCACTCCACCCACCAGGGACAGCCAAGCCCTTTACCCCAGTCTGGGCCATGCCAAAGGGCCCCGGGTTCATGCCCAGGAAGAGCACTTGCTTGGGGCCCTGGCAGTAGCGGGTCACGTAGCTGCGATGAGGCTCCCACGCATAGTCCACAGGATTGTAGACAATGCCCACAGGCTCAGAAAACTGCAGCTGGCTCAGCTCAGCATTGAGCCGAAGTTCCTCCTCCAGGAAGCCCTCAGCCAAGCTTCGAGGGCAGAGCTGGGGCTCCACCAGGGTACCTGCAGGCTCATGAAGGGGCCCCGGTGGGAAAGCCTGGGGCACAGCCATGTCACCGTCACCTGGAAAAGAGATGGACAGAGGCCCCTCAGCCCTAGAGTGGGAGGAATCCAGACCGGCCAGGGCTCCACTACCATTTCCTGGACTCGGAAGAGACTGTATCAGTCATCCCCCAACCTCCAGGCAGGACTAAGCTCATCTCAGTTCTTGGTAATGAAAGGACCTCTTCTCTTCCCCTTCACTCATCACCTGTTGTGAATAACCCATCCCCCACTCCAAGCCTCCTTTCCATCAGGCTAGGTTTTGAGTCTGTTCCTAGGCCAGTGATGGTGAACCTTTTGAGCTCGGCGTGTCAGCATTTTGAAAAACCCTAACTTAACTCTGGTGCCGTGTCACATATAGAAATTTTTTGATATTTGCAACCATAGTAAAACAAAGACTTATATTTTTGATATTTATTTTATATATTTAAATGCCATTTAACAAAGAAAAACCAACCAAAACAATGAGTTCGCGTGTCACCTCTGACACCCGTGTCATAGGTTCGCCATCTCTGTCCTAGACCATGGCAAGCTATGGTAAGTTTCCAATAAATGTCTACTGGTGGCAAAATTTCAGCATCTTCAATGTCCCCCTTAACAAAACAAGCCCAGCCAGGATGAGCCGTGTCCTGGGAACCAATATGCTGAAGAATGAGATGCAGGTGCAAAGCCATAGCTCAGAGACTAATTACTAAGGGCTAATTACAATAGCTTCCAGGTGGTAAGCAAGTGCTCGTGCCAGATACACCCCATGGATACTCATAACAACCCCAGGAGATGGGTATTATTGCTCCCATGTTACAGGTGAGAAGACTGAGGCTTAGCAAGATCAAGCAACTTGCCCAGGGTTATGCAGTTAGCAAGTTATGAACCTGGGATTTGAACCCAAACTATCTGACTCAAGACTGAGCCCTGAATCACCCAAACCATCTTGCCTTAGATCAGTGGTTCTCAACCTTGGCTGCACATTAGAATCACCTGGGAATCTTTTTAAAATCCTGATTTCCTGGCCTCATCCTCCGGAAATTCTGTTTCTTTGTTATAGGGTGGGGCCACTACACTAGTAACAAAGAAACAGAATTTCCGGAGGATGAGGCCCAGAAATCAGGATTTTAAAAAGATTCCCAGGTGATTCTAATGTGCAGCCAAGGTTGAGAACCACTGCCTTAGATGATTCACTCAGCCACCCCTGCTAATTCTACAACCTCCCCAGCCCAGTCCAGCTTCTTGCCCACATTCAAGAATCCTCAGTGGTAAGTGGGATGACTACCAGACTCTCTTACAAGCAATGTAACCAGAGCCAGTCTCTGGATTCCTCATCCAAATACTAAAAATAACAATATTCACTTAATAATGTTGATATAAGATTTCATTTATATGTGTGATCTAAAAGGCAAAATAAACGAACAAGAAGAACAGAAACAGACTCATAGACACAGAGAACATTTTGATGGTTGCCAGATGGGAGAAGTGTTGGAGGAATGGGTGAAAAAGATGAAGGGATTACATACAAATTGGTAGTCACGGTGATGTAGAGCACATCATAGGGAAAATAGTCAATAGTATTGTAATAACTGTATGGTGTCAGATGGGTACTAGATTTATCGGGACGATCACTTCATAAGCTGTATAAATGTCTAAACACTGGGGTGTACACCTGAAAATAATATAATATTGTATGTAAACTGTATTTGAAAAATTGTTATTTTAAAATAATATTAATATGCCCAGCTGGTGTGGCTCAGTGGTTGAATGTTGACCTACGAACCAGGAGGTCACAGTTCAATTCCTGGTCCAGGTTGCAGGCTCAACCTTCAGTGGGGGGCATGCAGAAGGGAGCTGATCAATGATTCTCTCTCATTTGTTTCTCTCTCACTCTCTCTGAAACCAATAAAAACATATTTTTTTTAAAAATCCTATATAATAAAAGCCTAATATGCTAAGTGTTCGACCCATCATTCGACCATTTGACCGGTCGCTATGACACGCACTGACCACCGCACTGACCACCGTGGGCAGACACTCCAACCGGTAGGCTAGCTTGCTGCTGGGGTCTTGCCTGGACTGGGCGAGATATGGGCTGGGAGAGACAGGCCGGACACGCCCTGAAGCCCTCCCACAGTCCCTCCCCAACCCGGACCGTGCACCAGTGGGGTCCCTTGGCCTGGCCTGCACCCTCTCGCAATTCAGGACCCCTCAGGGGATGTCAGAGAGCTGGTTTTGGTCTGATCCCTGCGGGCTAGGCCAAGGGACCCCACCGGTACACGAATCCATGCACCAGGCCTCTAGTATAATATAAAAGAATGAGATGTTACATGTAAAGGGGGAGGAAGGGAAAGGGGGAAGAGAAGAAGAAGAGAGGGAAGAAGAAGGGAGAAAGCAGAGGAAGTATTCAAGCAAGCTTTGTAATCTGGCACAAGGCCTGGGAATCTGTATTTTTGACAAGCTTCCCCAGGTGTTTCTGATGGTTGGTGAACGCTGAGAACCATTGTGTCACCATGGTTAGTAGTTTCTTCATAAATTCATATATGTCCCTCTTCAATGTACTTGAGATCAGAGGCCAGTCACTGGTCAGTTTCCCTCCATATCTGCAAGGTCTTAGCTCTTACTAAGTAGGCAAAGAATACCTGCTCAGCTCTGTCCATCCCTATTTAAACTGCCTCCTACCAAGGAGCCGTTCCTGATGGACTCGCTGAAGACTCAGCTGCCCACTTGTACTCTGCCCCTTCCCAGGGCTTGCCAGGCTCTGGGGGGTTTCCATCAGGTCTGGACCTCCCATAACGTAGACCATGGTTCTTTCTCCCTCTCAACCCCTTGCCCAGGTTAAGAGTAACCCAGATAGGAACTCAAGGTTGACACAACAGCTTGATCCATCAACCTGCTCTCTGACCCTAGCCTGGAGGAAGAGAGGGGAAAAAATCAGGGGCCAAACTTAGGAACTCCTTCCCCCATCTGATCTCAGAATTCTTTAACTGATCTATCCAGCTGGCTACCCAGGGCCAACTGGCCTCAGGCACATGCTGAGAAGGAAGCTGGGGAGGACTCCAATGCCTCAGAGGCTCTTGCTTTGTCTCTCCCCAGGTAGCACCAACATTAGTGGACTGGCTGCTCCAGATGCGGGATCTCTCTCGGCCGTAAGTGGGACCTACCTTTGATTTCAGAGACCTATGCTGGAGACAGCAAGGCTGGGGGTACACAAAGTGACAAGGGTTATTTCAGTGTTCCAGGGTTTCAAAGCCTGATCTGATAGCAAGAGCCACAGAATGGGTGTCATCTGCCTCAAGTTCTAGTCCAGGTTTCAACTCTAAGAAGGTTCTCTCTAGAGCAGTGGTTCTCAACCTTGGCTGCACATTAGAATCACCTGGGAATCTTTTTAAAACCCTGATGGCTGGGCCTCATCCTCCGGGAATTGTGTTTCTCTGTTACTAATGTTGTGGCCCCACCCCATAACAAAGAAACAGAATTTCCGGAGGATGGGGCCCAGGAATCAGGATTTTAAAAAGATTCCCAGGAGATTCTAAGGTGCAGCCAAGGTTGAGAACCACTGCTCTAGAGTCACTTAACTCTATGAAATGAAAATGAGAAATTCCACCTAACCTAGCACCAGTAGGTTTATTTTTTTCAATATGTATGAGTCTTTTACATGACAGGTACTGTAATAGTCTGTTTCTTGGTGGGGAAGAAATCCCAAATGAAAAAAACAACGTAGGCCAGGCTCATGAACCGCTGAGATGACAGATAAACAACTGCAATACACTGTGGTTGGCGCTTTAATGTCCCCAACAAAACACTGTAAGAGCCCAAAAGAGGAACTTGGAAGCACTATCTAAAGTCATCAAGGGCCAGAGACTTAAGGCACATACTAGTAGATACTTTATAAATCAGTGTCGTGTCACATTAAGTGCAGAGGAAGCGGAGGGTGACCCAGCGAGAAGTCTGGACACCTAGGCTTTCTGACACAGTGAAGAGGGAATCGAAGACACTATCCACGCCCCTGTCCCTATGGGCACCCCAGGAATCCACAGGAACAATCAGCAAATCCTTAAAACCAATAATTATAATAAAGATAACAGAGCACGCGCTCAAAAATACCACTTCATCCTTGCTCCTGGCTCCGAGGGGGGCAGACGACTAAGGCTCCCTAAGAAACCTCCGCGTGCGCCCGACAAGAAAGCCTCGGCCCGCAGGCCTCCAGGCTTCCAAGGGCTGCGCGCTCCCTGCGCCGGGACGAACCCCGAACAGCGCGAGGGGCCCCAAAACGCAGACATTCCGACTCCCCGCCTGCCGCCACCCCGAAGCCGCGTGAACCCCGACCCTGCCCCCGTAGCCCCTGGGTTCCAGCCTCCAACTTCCTCACCTGGCCCAGCTGCCCATCCGGTTTCCGAGTCCTTTTCCCCGCCCCCGGGCGCGGAGGACAGTGGGAATCGTAGTCCGCTCTGCTTAGGAAAGGAGATTGGCGTAGTCACGGCCACTTCCGCCGGAAATGCGCAAGTCCCCGGAAAGCGTGCTAAATTAGCGCTAAGCGATGCTGGGGGTTGTAGTTTATTCTTTACTTCAGGGCTGAATCAACAACATTTGAGAAGTGAGGGCCAGGCTTTTTAAGGACCTCAAAGATCCTGGGTTCTAGCCCTAAAGGCATCAACCTTCCATAGCTCATCCACAACACTTTCCCCAAAGGGGTTAAGAATCAAGGAGCTTCAACCATCCCCAACCTCCCAACCCACCTGAGAGTATTAACATGGTTAAAAACCAGTTCTAGCCCTCCGGTTGCCCCAGGTGTAAGAGACCTTTCCTTTGCAGCCCTCCTAGGACTGTATGTAGAACATCCACAGGGACACTTCTGTCATCTCCTAGTAACTCCTTTTTTAAAATATATATAATTGATTTCAGAGAGGGATGGAGAGGGAGACAGAGATATAAACATCAATGATGAGCCCTGGCCGGTTTGGCTCAATAGGTAGAGCGTCGGCCTGTGGACTGAAGGGTCCCAGGTTCGATTCTGGTCAAGGGCACGTGCCCGGATTGCGGGCTTGATCCCCAGTGGGGGGAGTGCAGGAGGCAACTGATCGATGATTCTCTCTCATCATTGATGTTTCTATCTCTCCCTCCCTCTCCCTTCCTCTCTGAAATCAATAAAAATATATTTTATTAAAAAAATCAATGATGAGAAAGAATCATTGATCGGTTGCCTCCTGCACGCCCCCTCCTGGGAATCAAGCCCACGACCTGGGCATGTGCCCTGCCTGGGAATCACACCGTGACCTCCTGGTTCAGACATAGGTGGATGTTCAACCGCTGAGTAACACCAGCCAGGCAGGGCAGCTAACAAGTCGTAATAATGGCTTTGAGTCTCCATGGCTTTACTATTTGACTTCTCTCTCCCCTCTGCACTACTATTTGCCCAGCCTTATAACCTCCCATCATTCCCAACCCTCCCCTTCAAATACTATGTCCAGGACACCACTCCTGACCCATCGCAATCCCATGGCTGCATTCCTAATAGTCCATTCCTTCCCACCTCCCCAACCCAATACCAGTGTGCAAAGCTGTCACACTCATAGTTTTGTTCTTGTCCTCTGTCTGGGTCTGTTTCTGTTTCATTAGACTGGAACCCCCTGAAATCAGTGATCTTCTAGATTCCTCCCACCTCCATCCCCTGCACACATCAGCACAGCCATGACCGAGATCAGGAAGAAGCCAGGTCTCCCTGCAGGTAGTAAGGAAGGAGACCAATAAACCCAGAACTGGAAGAAGTGAGAAAACAAGGATGCTACCCCCTTCCCAAGCCTCCCCTGCTCTCCTACTAACAGACAAAGAATGAATGGGTGCAGCAGGAGCTTCAGGGAACTATGAGCAGTGACACACTGACACCAAAGGTGAGAAACTACTCTCAACCTTGCAAGACTTTGGAAACTTAATTACTCATCCACCTGGCAAAGTCCATTACTTCCTGAGCTTTCATTTGTGTCAGAGTCTCTCCCTCTCTGTGTCTTGGCCTTTCTCTCCCCAAATAAATCTATCTCTATCTCTAGCCTCTTCTAATCTGTGTGTCTCTATCTCTCTCTGTGTACATCTATTTCCCTGTATCTGCTTCATTCCTTTTCTCTGGAATGACTGAAATAAGAGTACCCTGTGCTTCCAGAACTGGCACCTCCCGCAGGTGCCTCTATCTCTGTACATCTATGTACTTGTGTGTTTCTTAACAAAAAGTAGTATGAAATGGGGAACAGTGTTTAAGAATTCTAGGAGCTTCACCATCCCTTAGACAACCTTCCTGCCCACCCCACCCCTCTGCCACTTGCTTGCCAAGCACTTCCGGTTTTTCATCATGGAAGCCCCTGCACACTGCAAGTCAGACATTCCGACTTGAGTGAAGTGAGTGACAGACAAATGGAGATCCCTAGAACCCCAGGCCCAATTTCAACTTCCTGGAGGACTTGGATAACTGTTTGTGTCCCTGTAAGGCCATTCACCCCAAGGAGCCCAGAGATAGGGGTCCAGACATAGGAAGAAATTGAGTTTTGGGAAACCCACAGTGAGTCCCTATTGCTGGCCCAAGCGATACCTGGGACCCTTCTCTGCCTCTAGCCCAAGCTACTCCTCCCTACCGAGTGAGTCCCTCTGAGGGAAGATGGAAGGAGGGGCTCCACACCTCCATGCTTAGAAATAGACACCCATAAACTTTCCAGAGACAGAGCCTGAGAGATGCACTGGGCTGAGGTGGGGCCCTCACAACCTGCCTTGTCCTTGTCTTAGACTCCTGGCCTCTGGGAAATCTCCAAGTGACTGGCTGCTGGCTTATGGATAGAGCCTTACGGATAGAAGCAGACGCAGCTGTGGCCTGGACAGAGCCTAGAGAATTGGGTCATTCCTTAGGGGCCAGCCGGTCCTGGACAGGGCCCTCCGCCACCCATCAGCCTGTTCCTGGGGCCTGAGCGCCGGCGGTAAGGGGTTAACTTCAGGCTTGTTTTCCTTTGGTTTCCTTGGGCTGCCTGGGCTGTGTTGGGCCATGAGCGCCATCTATCGGCCTCTGGAGGTCATAGCTCTGACTCCGATCTTTCAGCCCTTCCCCTGCCTCCATGCTCTGAGTAGGAAGGGGAAATTGTCTAGCTGCACTGCTCCAGCGCAGAAATAGATATTTGTAGAAGTGAGGGCCATGTTTTCCCCTCCCCAAATACCAGGTGTCCCCCGTGTCAGCTCCCACCACCTCTGGCCCGGGGAACCCCAAAGGTTTTCGTGTTTGACTTTCAGCGTAGCCATCTCCCCCCAGCTCCACTCCCCTGGGCAGTGACCCCTGGCAGTCAGCCCAATAAACATGGAAAGAGCACTGGAGAGGAGAGGTGGCATCGCAGAGGCCTGTAGAGTGTGGGCTCTGGACTCAGACTGCCTGGGTTTGAATCCCAGCTCTGCCAACTTACTAGTGGTGGCCTTGGACAATTACTTAGCTTCTCTGTGCCTCACTTAACTCCGCTGTGAAATGGGATGGTCATTGTAATCCGTGTCTCCTCTTGTGATAATTAAATGACTTAATTACATAATGTGCTTAGTATGGTGTCCAGCACAGAATCAATGCTCCATATGGTTAGTTTTGTTATGACCATGTGCCAGGTTCGCAGGCAGATGCTAGTCTGAGGCCCCAAGACCCAGGCCATAGAGCCATGACAGACACACGGGCACAGAGGACAAGACAGGCAACTGGTCCCTGGCTATTTCTACAAAGACAGTGCCCCACATGGGCTAGGGTTGGGCGCTGAGAGTTCATGACCGCAAGGAAAGTACTTTAAGGTCTCCAAAATCACCAGAGATGGGATGACAGAGTCAAAGAAACAAAGAACTTGAGATAAAGATATAGGAAGGAAAGGTGTTAACAGACCTGTAAAGGGACCTAATTTAGGGCAGTGGAGAGAGGTCCCTGAGGTGTGGGGTGAGGAAGGGCCACTGCATCCAAGTACAGGCACAAAGTCTCCGGCTTTGATTGGGCTCTGCAAGCTTCCCAAGATATATGGTACCACAGCCTCTTCCCCGCTCTGTGGGGACTTAACCCTCAAAGTATTTCCCCCAACCTGGTGCAGAGGGACTCACACATGCAGACAGCTCTCCGCGGGTCCTACAGCCCCATTCCCACCTCCCTCCTAGAATTAGAAAACCAGGAGAATCAGCCTGTGACTGTGTTCATTTGTTCCCTAACAGTTCAGCCATCCATCTCCCTGTCTCTGTGTCTTCTGTATTTCTGCCTTCATCTACCTCACTGGGAAATGGGTACATAGGATTCTTCTCCAAGGGGAGAGGATGAGGGGGAGAGTGCCACTTTCTGTTAAGACAGAAATGCAGAGCTAGTGGGGTCCCTGGTCCACCCTCACCACCCCAATGCCCCCATCTCCAAGCCCAAGCCAGCACAGATGAGCTTTATGGATTGATGGCCGCTTCACTGGAGGCAGGTGACAGCCTCCAAGTCTCCCCAACTCAGTTGTGCTCCTCTCCTGGGGCCTGGATGCCTGGGTTCCCAGGAGAGGAGCAGGGACAGGCTGGATGGGCTGATTTGCATCGCTTACTTGGGAAGCAATTATCGGAGGAGCTGTCAGCTCAGCGCAGCTCTCTCCTTGCTAATCGGATTTCACCAGAGCCTGGGGCTGGGGGGGCTGAGTAATTTGGCTTGATGCAGTGGTGGGAGATGTCGGGCCAGGAGGCCAGCCAATCTGTCTGAGTGGTGTTAGAGTTGTCCAGAGCAATTATCCTGAGCGGACCACACAGACATCAGACAGACAGACAGCCACGGGGTCCCCAAGTCCGACAGCAGAAGGAAGAAAGTTACACGTTTGGCAGAGGTGGGAGGAATATCTCCCACAGGTTGAGCCAAATTAAGCAACTGAGAAGAGGAGTCAAGATGGTTCTGGGAGGGGGAAGAGGAGCCAAGTGGGAAGAGGATCCAAGAATCCCAGCTTCCGGCCAACCCACCACCCAGGCCCTGCCTTGCCCTGCACTCCCAGGGAACCCGCAGCAGAACAGGGACTTGACCAAGGATGGCCTCCCTTGCCCCCTGCAGTGCTCCCGGCCACGCTTCTCTGCCCCTGGCTCTGGCTCTGTCATTTGCCTTCTCTTGTCCCCTCCTTCCCACCCACACTGCCTCACCCTGTCCCTCCCCAGGTTTTGCAGCAGACTGCCGGCCCCCTCCCTGCCTCTGTCCCCCATCCCGCACCTCTCGGAAGTGTGAGAAGGATGGTGACAGCAATAGCTAACCCTCATGAGTGCTTCTCCTCCATCAGACGGCACCCTGGGTGCTTGCTATAGACCCTCCCACGTAAC